GTACTAAATTGGTCGAAATGAACCTTTAAACCATTGTAAAAATTAGACCGAGTTTTGTTTTGGTTTAAGTTCAGCTACTAATTAGAAAAACTCTAATATCCGGTTATTTACCTTCTTTATTAGATTCATTAAACACTTTCCTCATAATCTTTACCTCCTTTCCATATAATTTAAATTTAATGGTCAGTATATTACCCCGATTGCGTTACTTCTAGGTAGTCAATCTAATGAAAAATCAATGTCAGGAACTTCTACCATATGCGATAATTAAAAAATCGCTGCACTTAAAAAAATACGCTTAAATATTAATATATAAAATTTAAGATTCCAATATACTAATAAAAACTTTTATAAATTTCTTTCTTTCCAGGGAAAAGAGTTTGCAAAACAGCGAAAGAAACGTAAAAAGGACGAGAGTTGGAACTTGTTGCAAGCGCGTCCAGTTGAGAGACAGTTAGACAGGAGATAGCAGCGATAGCGCGCGGTACGAGAGAGCGAGCGAGTTTTAGCGTAGAAACATTTTTCGAATTTTCTTTAAAAAAAAAAAAAAAAAAACTAATTGGAGTTTCAAGCAAGTGTTTGCTGAGGCAGCAAGAAATAAAGAGAGCAACTACAAAAAGCGCGCATATCAGAAGAATTGGTATACATAATTTCGGTTTTAGCTAAAACAAGCAAGAGAAAGCAAAAAGCAACAAAAAAGAGCTAATTAATTGACAGAATTATTGCGAACATAACTTGTTCTACAATTAAAGAGTAATTAAACTACAACAACTAAAACGCCAACAGCGATTTCGAAACGGCAGAAAATCAGGCAGGTTTTTTGCAAAGAAACAACAACAAAAAAGAAAGCAAAAGCTATAAAGAAAAACTATTTTGGAAAAACTTTTTTCTAATTACTTTTTTGTGATAATTTTTAAGCTAAAAAAATATAAATACCAACAACAACTCATTAACACCCAAAAACTAAAAAAAAAAAACAAATCTACTAAACTATTGTACTTAATTTTAAATTTTTGCGCTAATTACAAAACAATTTCCGTATATAAGCTTCAATTTGCACATTAAATACTTAAATTATATTTATACAAAATATTTACAAGAAAAACAAAAACAACAACAAAATTAATTGGCATAAACTGCTGCAAGTGTTGCACACACCACTTCCGATTTATTGAGAGTAAACAAAAGCAAAAGAAAGCAAAAAAGAAAAGAGAAAACAAACTTTTAGTCCAGTTTTGTGACAGAAGTTTCCATTATATTTATACTTTGGAGCGATCACTGTCAAATTTGTAACAAAAACAGTGGACGCGCAGCTTCCAAAGCGAAATATTTTACAAAGCCGCCTAACCTAACCTACAAAGTCAAGGAGAAAACATAGACAAAAACAACAAAACACCTCAGCGCTTGAAAGTAAAAGACAGCCGAAGAGCATAAAGCTTAAAAGTGCGGAGCGTGAGCGCTAAAATAACAACGTACTTCTATAAAAATTAATATATTTAATACCAAAAAGAAGAAGAACACAAAAACTCTTAACTGTCCTGTCTACAAGTACACAATTATACAAGCCTATTGTATATTGCATACGAACGCATAAATAAATTTCTTATTTGTGTTAAAGTCGTAAATTAATGAGCAACATGCGTCAAAAGGATTTGCGCCCAGCACCAGCTCTTATTGAGTTTAAGGGCATGAAGTTCCTAATCACCGATCGGCCATCAGATGTCACCATCCATCATTATATAACGGTTAGTATACGCTTTGTTGCACTGTTTTGATTTTTATATACCCTGAACAACCAGATACGTCGAAGACCCCATAAAATATATACGTATATAATCAGCGTTACAAGCTGGCTCGATTTAGCGATGCCCGTCTGTTTGTCTGTCTGTACAAGTATATACGCGAATTAGTCTCTCAGTTTTTGAAATATCAATTTGAAATTTTAAACACGTCCTTTTCTGTCCTAAAAGCTGCTCATTTGTCAAAACCGCCGATATCGGTTCATTATAACATATAGCTGGCATACAAACTGATCAATCAAAGTTCAGTTCTTGTATGGA